TGTTGTAAGAGAATAACGTGAGTAAGATTCCAATAAAGCCGCCCGCTTCATCAAGGGGAACGAAGGACAGGGCAAGTGTTTCTAAAATTGAAATCTAGTTATATTCATTTATATCCTTCCTGCTTACCTTCTTAAGAGAGCTTTTCGATGGACTCGTTTGAAAGGATCATCTGCGATCTTAAGGTTCAAGTCACTTAGGAGAATTTCAGGAGTACAAGCAGTTAGGAAATACGGATTTCCGAGACAGGAGATCGGCGTTGCTGCGATTGCTGCAGCGTGGTATCCATTTAAATATGCGTTACCAGTACACTCAACTTCAGCCGTTCTATACCACGGGTGCATTTGATTGGTACCAGCAATTGCAGGTGATTAGATCCTCCTACAGAGGACATTTACCAGTCCGAGTTACCTCATCGTCAGCCAAACATCGGCATAAAGACCATCGAATTGAATGTAGACTTGATTCTGTGCGTCGCAGTAACATAAGAGTTATAATACTAATCCTTTATCCTCAACTTTTCTAGAAACTAGATGAACATGTTTCAAGGCTGTCTCGCTAGAGGATGCTAGAGCTGATGAATTAGCTTGAGACAAGTAGAAGCAGTATAAAAAAAGTCGCTAATTTTCGAGGCACGTTAATCAGTGCCCTGTTAAAAGGGTCATTCGGTCTCCCGCCAGTGCGTCCTACCAGTCCTACCGTACATCTCTAGATTACACCAAAAGGGAAGTCTCGTAACTGCTTACTGGCCAATTCACTGGATTGCAGAATCTTTCAAATTCGTAGGAAAATATCTTCCCCTATCCCGGAGTGATTTCTTCTTCTGTTGACTTTCTGAAGTTACTACTGCTGCGCTTATGGGATTCCATTGCCACTTCTAAACGTCACCACTACGGACAAACTAATCTAATTAATTTCAAATAAAACCCCGCCTTTCTTTTATGAGAATACCCAATGCAACAGTTGATTTAATACCTGGGATCGGCAAAGCAGTTATGCGAAATAAGAGACACATCCATAGAAGAACAACGGCATTGATAAATGAATCAGTTTTTATTCGAAAAGGTATTTTAAAAGAAAACCAAGCATGACATCGAAAAAAAAATCGGCAAGAAACTTCGAAAGGAAAAAAATCAATCATATGATGGAATAATTGAAAACATTGAAAAATCACCTGGTACTCATGTAAATCACTTGGCATAGTACGTCCTGGTCTTCACGCCGAGCCTCATGAAGGGCGTATCTGAATTGCGAACATTTGCGGCAATTGTGTAGATAAATTTGTCTCTTATTCTTATTCAGTATTCATTTAGTACTTTATTTATTTATTATTTATTATTTATTTCTGCGTCCTGTGAGCCCTTCATAATCAAGATCAAGGTAGTATAAATAAATTTTAAATAAACATTGATAAATACTAAATAAATTACCAACAGGGAGGACGAAGTCAAGCTATGAATTTTGATATATAATTTGCCACTAGAAATTTCTCTTTCAATTAATCAAAGGGATTGTCATCATGAACGTAATTGGCATGAGGGGCCAAGCCTCCCGAAACCGCCATCAAATCTATCGAATGATACCGAGACGAGCTGACTCACAAAAAGTAAGAAAAGCTATGGAAATTCGAACAGAAAGGCACGCCATAAATTATTCTGGCCACTCCTGACCAGGTCAAGCGTGCGTTTGAGGACACTCGACATGTAACAGGGGGGGCGTTCGTATTGGCCCGGCTGGGAGGGAAGAGATCGGCCGGCATTGACGCCGAGGGGGAATAGCACAGTGGGGGGAGGACAAACAAAGGGTCGATGCCAGGCCATGAGATTTCCGAATAAGTCAATGTCAGTTCGCCACGACTCGTGATTCAGAGAATGTCCGGTTAGCAATTCTTAGTTACTTGTCCTCTGACGTGGTGATGGCCTGGTTTGTCACACACAAGTTTAAACAATTCGGAATAATTTCGCATGCTTTTCCAAGGATATTTTATCTTTCAAGGGAGTCCTCGAATCTAAAGGATTGTGAACATATGGCGCATGCTCGGCGAGAGTGGGGCGTTCGATTGGTTGCACGCGGAGCGTTCAACTTACGCTCTGCTAAGAAAGAACCTCGATTCAGGCAAAAATAAGAGCGATTAGGAAAGGATCCGTGTGAAATTTACAGTGGAAGTATCACCATTCAAAAAAGAACACACAGTCTTCAGCGGCGAATTTCTTTAAGAACGTAACTCAAAGATTGAGCGGATACACTAAACTATTTTACACTGCTGAAGATGAGAAGAGGAGCATTTCGAGAGTCTGCCCTACTTTAGTTATAAATCGCCTCTGAAAGGAGCATATAGCCCGTTGAAATCAGGGCCAATGCATGCTAAAAAGGACCTTTTCGGCGGTTCTCGGGGCAGAAAATCTCAATGGTTCATTCTTTTAATACTAAACGTAATTGTTAGCAGCCTCAAGGAGCACTTTAATAGAGGCAAATCTTCTAGTTTTATGAAGATTATATTAGTTTCCAGAATGGTTATGAATTGAACGGTGAGATTATGCTTGTAGAAGCGTAAGAACTCGCACTCATCGCCCAAATTCTTCCTCCGTTAATTTTTCGAAATCCTCAACGTGGCCATTTTTAGGTTACGGAAGTATGAGTTGCTTTTAGCGAGCGTGTGTAGAGGAAGTCTTCTAGTTTTTGTTGTGCTCATATTACTTTTCAATTTGACGAAAAACGAAGCAAGTTATGGCTTCGGGACATTGTAAAACTCATGCCTCATCATGAATTTTCCTCGTTAATGATCTAAATTTTGTTATATTTCTCATGAACTTTTGTAATTCAATATTGTTCCAGTAAGAACTCTCGCAAAACGTCCCAAAATCTGTCTTTCAGATTGAAAATTCGTCCACTTTGAAGAACAGTTAAGTCTTTGAATATTTGTCAATATGTCATTGCGTAAATAAGCTGCTCCACGGCGTCAAAGCTAAAGCATCAGTCAGACCAGCGGCTACGGCGTTACAAGGCTTTTTATCATACTTGAAAAGGGACGTTGAAATTGAGAAACCATGACCTGCGTGACAGATTTGGTAAGTGCTGGGAGGAAATATAGAGAAGACAGTAGTTTCGCATGTATGCCACATTTTTAGTTGAGTAGTGGTGGTCGTTTTTGTACTTTTCTCGTTTGCTCGTTTGGTAGCTCATCATTTAAGGGGCATCATCTTTGATCTAATTTCACTTTTTAGTTCCTATCAGAATTTCTTTGCGTGGCGGTGTGCAGGGCTCTTTGGAAGATTTTGGGTGAGAGAGGTTAAACAACCTTTTCATAGCTCAATTTTTTGAAAAGGTCGTTTCTATGAACTTCGGCCTCTGGGGCGAGGGGGGGTGGGGCGTATTTCCGAATTTGCCTCACGGTTCTCTGTTGACCCTGCCCCTCCTGACCAGGGTCAACGACGCTGCACAAGTCAACAAGGCGGTGGGGGTCGTACTTTAAGGATGCGAAAAAAGGGGAGGACCAAGAATGAGTCCCACGATGGGGGATGGCAGGTACAAGGTGATGAAGGGTCTGGCCCGGAAGGGGGCCTCCTCCACTCAGGCCCTCTAGAAAGGGGAGGCGCGGACTTCGGTGCAAACTATCGAATCAGGCGCCATTAGCACGAATGACTCTGCCTCCTGACGAGATTTCTTATTAGGAAGAAAATCAAAATAAAATCGGCTAATACAAATCAAAAGAGAGAGATCTACCGCAGTCTAATTTTGGGAGGAGGCCCTTTCCAGGTCGGGGATCTCCAACCTACACACAGCTTCATATTCTCATAAACAAAAACACACCATTTGTAAAAGCGTTTCACAATAAGAAGTGTTTACGGAAAAGGCACATAAAAAGTAAAGAAAAACCTTGAAAACTAAAAGCATCTGACCTGCTAGACTTCGAATTCGCTGTTCCACCGTCATCTCACGCGCGTCCGCACTGACCTCCAAAGCTAATTCATCGTAGCTTATGACAACTCTCTAAACCGAGAAAAACTACGTCGTTGAAAACTATGAAGTTGCATATACAATGACTTTACAACTTTAACTGTTTTGAATAGCTATGGGTGAAAACGTATCAATTTGCACGTATCCAATCTTCTTGGATAGGTCGAGGTGAGAAAATCCAAGAAAGCTTGACCCGGGTGGTCAGATATCAACAAGTATTCCAGGCAGTGACACATGCAGTCTTGGCCTTTGTTCTCTATCTCAGCCTTGATGGTTTCCAGCGATCAGCAACTAAAATTAATAAAATTCGATGCCAATAATCCACATCCGCGCCGGAATCAAACACATGAGGCTCGGGCCGAAAGTTTTCAACCATACACGGTCTAAAGCACAGACTATCACATGAATGTCAGCTACAATTCGGTTCTGCGATCAGAAATGTGGCGGTAGTGCAATCGATTGATGGCAAGGAGGGTGATGCATGAAATGCTTGCTTGCCGAATTAGCGATTGTTTGAAAAAACAGCTGCAAGTCGTATATAACGGCAAACAGAAAACATAGAGGAATGACAGAAAAAGGTGAGAAAGTGAACGAGGAGTCACAGAGATGAATGGAAGGAGACGAGATAGAGCCGATGGCAGAGTTAAAGATCGGAGCGCAGCTTGGCTGATGATGTGAAGCGGCGCAGTCGGCGGGCAGACAGTCGGTTTCGGAAGAAAAGGGGATCCCCGGTGTAGGAGATTACGAGCGGGGACGATATTAGCGACGAGCTGAGAGACGAAAGTGGTGGGTTAAATTTACACGAAAGGACTGCTGATCATGAAACTTCGAGTAGCGAGACCAGATAATTAGATGACATATTCGCGTCGCTTGCCGTCATAAGCCCAGTCAAATGGCTTCAAGTAATGCGAAGGTGGGGTCGAGGATACTGCAGCATGGATTCTCGGCGAAGCATGAGGGCGAAATCTCAGCGGAGGTGGAGTAATTTTGGAAAAGCAATCGCAACGCCTCGAGTTTTGACGCTAAAATCTTTCAACCCACTATCAGAAATGGGCGGAAGTGGGTGTGGTTGGATGTTGTAAGGTGTCGTCCCATTACTATGCCGCAGTCGCTTGCGCTACCCTGCCGCAACTTGGACCTCATAGTCTTCTTCTTCTTCTCCTTAGCGTTAGTCCACCGCAGTCGTAGGGTCCGCTGCCTTTGTCAGTCGTCGCCACTTTACTCTGTCCAGGGCGTCCTCTGCTGTGGCCATGATTTAATCTGGACCTCATAGTGGTATCCCATAAAGCTTGAAAGCTCCGTGTGGCACACCCGTTTACTGATATTAAGCGTAGCATGGTCGAATATTTATTGAATCACTCCGACTACCCCAAAATGAAGGCGAACGCGTGGCGCACCACTGGCATTAGAGGTGAGGCGAAGCTGAAGAGGAGTGAGCGCCTGGCATTTGTTGTTGTAAAGAGAAATAACGTGAGTACAGATTCCATTAAAGCCGCTCACAAGGGGAATGAAGGAACAGGGCAATGTTTTCTAAAATTAAATTTGGTTATATTCCTTCCTGCTTACCTACTAAGAGGAGCTCTTTCGATTGGACTCGTTTGAAAGGATCATTGCGATCTTAAGGTTCAAGTCACTTAGGAGAATTCAGGGAGTACAAGCAGTTAGGAAATGCGGATTTCCGGACAGGAGATCGGCGTTGTGCGATAGCTGCAGCGTGGTATCCATTTAAATGCGTGTACAGTACACTCAACTTCAGCCGTTTCTATACCACGGGATTCATTTGATTGGTACCAGCAATTGCAGTTGATTAGCATCTCCTACGAGGACAATACCAAGCCGAAGTTACCTCACGTCAGTCAACATCGGTCATTAAAATGACCATCGAATTTGAAGTAGAACTGAGTGCGTGGCGTAACCAAAGAGTTTATAAATACTAATTTACTCCTCAACTTTTCTAGAAACTAGATGAACATATTTAAGCTGTCTCGCTAGAGGATGCTAGAGCATGAATAGCTTGAGACAAGTAGAAGCAGATAAAAAAAAGTCGTCTAATTTTCGAGGCACGTTTAATCAGTGCCCTGTTGAAAGGTCACTTTCGGTCCTCCCACAGTGGTCCTACCCCCAGCCTACCGTACATCTCTAGTACACCAAAAGGGAAGGGTCTGTAACTGCTTACATGGCCAATTCATGGATTCAGAATCTTTCAAATTCGAGGAAAATACTTCCCCTATCCCTGAGTGATTTCTCTTCTGTGACTTCTGAAGTACTACTGTGCGCTTATGTATTTCCATGCCACTTCCTAAACTCACAACTACGACAAACTAATCCATTAATTTCAAATAAAACCCCCTTCTTATGAAATACCCAATGCAACAGTTGATTCTAATACCTGGGATCGGTCTAAAGCAGTATGCGAAAATAAAGACCACATCCATAAAGAACAACGGCATTGATAAATAATCAGTTTTTATTCGAAAAGTGATTTAAAAAAAACCAAGCGATGACTCGAAAAAATGTGCAAGAAACTTCGAGGAAAAAAATCAATTCAATGAATGGAATAATTTGAAAACATTGAAAAAATCACCTGGTACTCATGTAAACACTTGTCAAGTACGTCCTGGTCTTCCAGCCGAGCCTCAATGAAGGCGTATCTGAATTGCGAAACATTTGCGGCAAATTGTGTGAGATAAATTTGTCTCTTTATTTCTTTATTCAGTATTCATTTAGTATTTTATTTTATTTATTTATTATTTATTTATTATTTCTGCGTCCTCGTGACGCCCTCATAACAGACAAGGTAGTATAAATAAATATTAAATAAACATTGATAAATACTAAATAAATTACCAACAGGAGGTCGAAGTCAAGCTATTGAATTTTCTGATATAATTTGCCACAGAAATTTCTTCAAGTAATCAAAGGTTCATATGAACGATTGCATGAGGGGCAATCGGGTCCGAAACGCCCCCATCAAATCTATCGAATGATATCCGAACGAGTGACTCACCAAAAAGTAAGAAAAGCTATGGAAATTCGAACAGAAAGCACGCCATAAATTAATCTGGCACTCCTGACCAGGGTCAGCGTGCGTGAGAATCCTCGACCTGTAACAGGGGAGGGCGTCGTATTGGCCCTGGGGAGGAAAGAGATCGGGCCGCATTGACGCCGGTGGGGATCACACATGGGAGAGACAAACAAGGGGTCGATGCCAGGCCAGAGGATTTCAATAACAATGTCATTATTCTGCCCACACTTCGTGATTCAGAGATGTCCGCCTTAGCAATTCTTAGTTACTTGTCCTCTGACGGTGGTGATCTGTTTGTCACACACAAGTTAAACAATTCGGAATAATTCGCATTTTCCAAGGATATTTTATCTTTCAGGTGAGTCCTCGAATCGAAAGGGATGTGAAGACATGGCGCATCCAGATGGGCTTAGATTGGTTGCGCGCAGCGTTAAACTACGGCTCTGCTAAGAAAGAACCTCGATTCAGGAAAAATAAGAGCGATTAGTGAAAGGATCAGCGTGGTGAAATTTACATTAGGAAGTATCACCATTCAAGAAAAGAACAGACAGGCTTCAGCGTCGAATTTCTTAAGAACGTAACCCAAAAGTTGAGCGATACACTAAACTATTTTCACTGCTGAAGAGAGAAGCAGGGCATTTCGAGAGTCTGCCCTACTTTAGTTATAAATCGCGCTCTGAAGGAGCTATAGCCGTTGAAATAGAGGCCAATGCATGCTAAACAAAGGACCTTTTCGGGCGCGTTACTCGGGCAGAAATCCTCAACGTGGTTCATTCTTTTAATACTAAACGTAATTTGTTAGCAGCCTCAAGGAGCACTTGTAATAGAGGCAAATCTGTCTGAGTTGTATGAAGATTATATTAGTTTTCCAGAAATGGTATGAATTTGAACGGGATTATGCTTCTAGAAGCGTGAAGAACATCGGCACTCATCGCCCAAATTCTTCCTCGTTAATTGGTCGAAAATCCTCAGTGCATTTTTAAGGTTACGGACAGTATGAGTTGCTTTTAGCGGCGTGTTGTAAGGAGTCTTCTAGTTTTTGTTGTGCTCATATTACTCTTTCAATTTGACGAAAAACGAAAGCAAGTTATGGCTTCGGGACATTGTAAAAAACTCATGCTCATCATGAATTTTCTCGTTAATGATCTAAATTTTGTTATATTTCTATGAACTTTTGTAAATTCGAATACTGTTCCAGTAATGAACTTCTCGCAAAACTCCCAAAATTGCTTTCAGATTGAAAATTCGTCCACTTTGAAGAAAGTTTAAGTCTTTGAATATTTGTCCAAATGTCATGCGTAAATAAGCTCACTCACGGCGTCAAAGCTAAAGCATCAGTTCAGCACCAGCGGCTACGGCTAGGTTTACAAGGCTTTCTATCAATTGAAACGGGGACGTTTAAATTTGAGACACATGACTGCGTGTACAGATTTGGTAAGTGCTGGGGGGAGGAAATAAAGAGAAGAGAGTTGTATCGATGATATGCCACATTTTTAGTTGAGTAGTTGTGTCGTTTTGCTACTTTTCTCGTTTGCTCGTTTGGTAGTCTATCAATAAGATGATCTTTGATTAGTTTCACTGTTTTAGTTCCTATAGGAATTTTTTGGGAGTTGGGGTTTGGCAGGCTCATTCTTTTAACATTTTTGAGGTGAGAATTCAACCTTTCATAGCTGTGTTTTTTGAAAAGGGTCGTTTCATGGACTTCGGCCTCTGGGGGAGGGAGGGGGGTCGTATTTCCGAATTTTCCTCGACGGTTCGCTTGACCCTTGCCCCTGACCAGGGTCAACCGACCGCTGGACAAAGTCCAACAAGGGGTGGGGGTCGTATTTAGGATGGAAAAAAGGGGGACTATAGAATGAGTCCCACGATGGGGATGGCAGGTAAAGGTGATGAAGGGTTGGCCCTGAAGGGGGGGTCGTATCGAGGCCCTCTAGAAAGGGGAGGGGGATCGTGAAACTTTCGAAATCGGTCCATAGCGACGATTGACCCTGCTCCTGACGAGATTTCTTTTTATAGAAGAAAATCAAAATAAAATCGCTAATAAAATCACAGAGAAGAGTATCTACCCCAGATCTAATTTTGGGAAGGGAGCCCTTTCAGTTCGGGATCTCCAACTCTACAACAGCTTCATATTCCTCATAAAACAAAAAACACATTTTAAAAGCGTAAAATAAGAATGTTTACGAAGGCACATAAAAAGTAGAAGAAAATTGAAAATAAAAAATTCTGACCTGCTAGACTCTCGAATTCGCTGTTCCACGTGATTAGGTGATGCTCCAAAAGCTAATTTATCGTAGTTGACAATTCTAAACCGAGAAAAACTAGTCGTGAAAAATATGAAGTTTGACTTTACAATGACTTTACAATTAACTTTTTGATATAGCCTATGGGTGAAAACGTATCAATTTGCACGTATCAATCTTCTTGATAGGTCAGTGAGAAATCCACAAAGAAGCTTGACGTGGTCAGAGATCAACAAGTATTCCAGGCAGTGACAATTCAGTCTTGGCTTTGTTCTCTTATCTCACCTTGATGATTTCCAGCGATCAGCAATAAAATTAATAAAATTCGATCCAATAAATCCACATCCGCCCGTAATCAACACACATTGAGGCTCGGCCAAGTTTTCAACCATAACGATCTACAAGCACATGACTATCACATGAATGTCAGTACAAATTCGGTTCTGCGTTCAGAAATGTGGCTAGTAGTCAATCGATGATGGAAGGATGATGAGGAAATCTCTTTGCCAATAGCGATTTTTGAAAGAACAGCTGCAAGTCGTATATAACGCAAACAAAACATGAGAATGACAGAAAAAGGGTGAGAATGAAGAGGATCACAGAGATGAAGGAAGGAGACGAGATAGACGCGATGCCATTAAATGATCGGGACCAGCTGTGGCTAGTGATGAAGCGCCAGCCGGCGGCAACAGTCGTTTCGGAAAAGGGATCCCCTGTAGGAGATACGAGCTCGAATTAGCGACGAGTGGAGACGAAGAGTGGTGGTAAATTGTTACACGAAAGGACTGCTGATCATGAACCTTCAGTAGCAGACCAGATACATTTAGATACAGATTCGCTCGCTTGCCGTCATAAGCCCATCAATCTCAATAATGCAAGTTGGGTCGAGGCATACTGGCAGCATGGCGCAAGCATGAGCGATCTTCAGCGAAGTAATTCAAAGGAGGACGAATGGCAGTAATGCAAACCAAAATAGAATAAGAACAGTCGGCATGCATAAGAAACAGTCGGGCGCCGAGTCGGGCAATATTGTCGTCACGAAATTAAAATTCACGGCGCACCGCAACTAGATATCCGGTCCTGAAGCCGGTCTGCGATGGGCAAGTTTAATTTGGCCACTGCGAACTTGATCCCCATGAAATGCAATTAATCAAAGCCGCTACGTGATTGCAGTTGTCACAGGTGTGCACCGGGGACAGCGCGAATAGCGCTGATAGTATGCCATGGTGAAGATGGTCGCCGAGCGGACCTGTCGCTCGCCGATCGCCGGCCGACGTCGACGGCGCGCGCCAAGACGATATTGCTGAGGCGATTTACGATGACGCAGGAACCACGAACACGAATCGATGCCCTGGCGATTTATTGAGGGCGATCTTATTGAAAAAGATCTCATCGATACATTCACATGTCGCCCTACGTCACCGCTGTCGATCGATATGGTACGTAAGTCGCAAGACGCGCATCTACATACCAAAACACGCGCGCACGCAAGAAAACCAGACGGCCTCGAGATGTCCGAGTGAACATCATCATAGCCTCCGTGCGTTTGCGGTCTAGAGCACGTGCCTATGGAAGGCTGCGGGCGCGGCTAGTGCGATAGTACGAGGAGATGAAGGAGGAGTTACAGAAGAGGAACGACGAGGTCGAGATGAAACAGTAGGAGGAACCTGACACCAGCGAGCGGGACGCGATCGCCGGCGCCGCTATCAGCTATCATGACGGCTTCACGAGACTGGTTTCGTACAACGAGAAAGTGTTCTCACTGAGATGGCATGTGGATTCCTTAAGCTGGCGACCTGCGGACATCACATAGTCACACCTGGCGGTCCTCGAACACTACCTAATCAAAAAAAATCAAAATTAACAAAAAAATCTCTTTTTCGATCCGCTTCTAGAGCCACCTCGTAGGCAATTGAATGCAATAAGATGTCGAAATGGTCAAATATTGAATGTTCACTGTTGTCCGATAACAGCACTATCTTGGAAAATATTTCAATACTGGACACAAGGTACCATTAAAAAATGAAATTAAAGTGATTACCCCGCAAACCACTACAAAAGGAACAAACTGTATGGTGGCGGTGTTCAGTAATGAGAAGCCGAAAGTCGCATCAAAAATTTAGCAACTACAACATCCCTTCAATACAATTTGTTGACTGAGGAAAATTACTTCAATAATTATCGGAAGCCTTTCATACGCAGCACCAACGATAACGGCAAAACAGTAACAGAACTGAAGCTGTGTTAGCGTATTTATGCGTATCGGTGCAGCTTCTCCATGAATGGGGTCCGGTGAGGTGGGCGTTCGCGACAAAAAGTTTTTCGGTGTCTCTTAGACGTTGTCATATCGGAGAGGGTGCAGAGTCAAAAGTTCAGTTTTCTGTTCAAAGATGGCAATGCAGTCACCTGGGAGCACGTTGTCCATCATCATCTGCGGGCTTGGTGTCATATAGCGCCGGGCGTCGAAATTCGAGTTCCTTTTCGTATGCACTCTCCGTAGCGTAGCGATTCTCTCATCGCATGGAACGCATATTGCAACTCGGCTGGCACTCCGATTCACGGTAGCGAGTTCTGGCGGTGGCGGCGGGTGCGCTAGCGCCGGCGAACATCAGGGAGCGACTCTAGCATCCGGAGATCCGGCATAGAGTTTCCGACACCCTAGACGCTCGAGAAAGCGGCATGTGTCTGACAACATCACATGCTCGCATCACTTACCTGCATCTCGGTATCATAGTCATTTTCAGACAATGCCTTGAGCGCAAGCAGGCAAAAAACTTGCTAGACTCTCGAACGACGTGGGGGGTATTCGGTATCGAAGTGGTAGCCCGATGGTCGCTCGGCTAATCGGCACCGTATGCTTCATGCTTGGCTGCGGACGGCAAGCCTCGAATTTCTAGCGTCACCTATTCCAAAAAGTAGATGCTCTGTCCTGTGATAAACCTCACCCTGAGAATGAAATATTATTCCTCGCTGAGGCTTTCAGCCGCGATATACGCCCTATCTAATGCAGTTGAGTTGTCCGAATCACCCATCGCCATGACTGCGTATGTTTTTTGACGCAAATTGAAATTGCCCTAAAATCCCATAGGAAAGTCAGCCCGAAGATAATCCGCTGGCAAAATGGAAGCTTAGCGTGCATGTTGTTTTGTTGTTTATTTGTGGCTCGTTATTTTGCTCAATTGCTTGTGTTGAGGTTTGTTTTTCAAAATTAAAGCCTATTTAAAAAAAAACAAGTGTCGAGCAAAAAGGCGAGCGAGCAAAAAGGTGCGTCTTCCTGCAACGAAGTTGTAGCCAACTATGGGTTTCTGGGATCTACTGGAAAAGCAATGTTCAAAAAGCCTTTCAATGAAATGCTGGCTTGTCGCAGTATTGGACAGAAATTCCTGCTTCAAATAAATGGTATTTCCAGAACTTCTTCCCTTTCCACGTCAAAGTTCCCAATTAATCCTCGTTGCATCCACTTTTTCTTAGAAGAAATTCAGCTACTGTTCAGCTGCAGAGATACAATGGATATTCATGAGAAAAGGTTACAAGCTTTATCTCAAGATTCTTCAAAAAGCGCTGGGAAGGATGTCGCTGAATAACCCTTTGGCGGCATCACCGCCCAACATTGGGTGACACCTGAGATTTTGTGTGTAGAATTCTTTCAACTTTCCAGCGAAAGCGTATTGGTCAGGAAGGCATCTGAAAGCGCTTTTTTCGAATAAAACGTATCATTTCGAATGACAAGACTTCTTTTTGCTGCGGTTAGCAACGCACTTATATCACTTCTGTCGAGAAGAGTTATTCGCTTCATACACGGATTCGAGTAGGAAAAATGAAAATTTTCGAGCCCGCTCCGGCTACCTTTGTTCGTTGTTTGAAAGCACTCTATCAAGATCTTAAGCAAACGAAGTTTTACCAGTTTTTGCATTGATTTACACACTGTGTTTCACAATTATAAAATCACCCTCGAATTTTTCGTCCCGCAACATGCTGCCAAATGTAGAAATTTCTTTATAATCACCAGCTGACCCTCGCCATGAGTAACCAGTTTTGGTAGGAGCACGTATCTTGCAGATTCAACAATTGTTTTATTTATTTTTGTTTTTGCATAGTGACATATATAAGACCCCCTGTGGAAAAGTGTAATAGGCGATGGGAGACACAATTCAAGTGTGAACTCAATATCACTTAGAAATGAACCATGAACTACCTCTCCAAAATGTTTCCTGATTGTCTTTTGAAGGGAAGGTTAGATTATCACTGTGGTGCCTGGCTTGGCTTGAAAGCAGTTCAAGAAGATCTCTGGCCTATTCAATTTTTATTAGTCCGTGAAGAATGTTCTTGCGCTTTTCGGTGTTCCGTTTTTGAACGCTTATTTTTGTTACGAATTCAAGCAAGCCGCCAATGAGCTGCTATGCGTTTTGAAGAGCTTTTCTTATTCTATCTAACAGCCGGGCAGCTATCTTTCTTATCATTTGTTGTCATTTTTTGAAGCCTTGAATACGGCATATTCCATGAGCAGATTTGCATGATTCCTATTTCTAGCTCAAAGCAGGCCAGTATGGAGACGAAGCAGGTCAAGAAATTATAGACGCACTTGGCTGAGATTCGCAATAAAATTATGGTCGAAGCGATTGTTCAAAAGCTTTTGTGTAAGAATAGCGAGAACCCTAAATATTGTGAGGGTTGGTGATCGGAGATTGGACGACGCCAACAATTAGTGGAGCGTTCTGGTTGAAGCACGTTTGCACAAATCTATTGAGAGGGTTCTTCCTGAACTAATCGCACTTGCATTGTGTTTTCGTGTTGCACGAGAAGAGCTGAAAAGTCTCGAAAATCCAAATAACGCGTGCCGCGACAGCTCACCATTTTGAAGGATCGATCGCCGCGTCCTAGCTTGTTTCGTGCCATGGAAACGACCTGACGTTTTGATCATTTGCGATGCACGACGAAGAACGGATTCTTTGCTGCAAAACACGAGCCTTTGGTGAAGTGGTCGACCGCGATCAGGCTCTACAAACTTTGCAAAAGTGAAACTTCACCGAAGGAAATTTGAGGTAACTTTCGTAAGGCCAGCGGCTGGTCTAGCTTTCGTAACCAGGTTCGTATTGAAAAAGTATAACTCCTGATAGTGTATCAAACCATTCCTAGAACTCTGGCACAAATGCTCGAAATTCCTCATTATAAGGGAACCGGCTCGTCCCTGACAGGTGGCTCGGACGCACATTCCACAACCAACCCTGCAGAAGTTCGACAAGATTGGCTACGAATTAGTCTTGTGAATATCCTACTCGGTGAATCTTTTGCCTATAATTTGTCACTTTCTCGACTACCTGGATAGCTTCTCCAAACAGTTATGCTTCAAAAACCAACATAATGCGGAAACGACCTCCGCCGGGTTCATCGT